GGAAGAACTCTGCAGCCTTCTCAGAGAGCTGGAGAATGAAGGAAGGGCCTAGAGGGAGGCAGGAGTGCAGTGAGCACAGGGAGGGGCCATGGGAAAGATCTTTGTGGGAAGGCCAAGGTAGGAAGAAAGCCAGAAAGGCAACGGAGAGTCTGATGGAGATGTCCTTAGCTGCTTGCCACAGGGTCCCTGGACTGGAATCCAGAGTAGAGATAGTGCCTGGGTTATCCCTAGCAGCTGCTGGAAATGGTGGTATGGAAACACCCTGATGTGGGGGAGAAGTACTACTAACTTGGAAATTAGGCCTCTAAGGATAAAGCCCTGTGTGAGCGCAGAGCAATCCTGTAAAGCCCAGGAAGGTTGAATAGTATGTAGTGGAGTAATCCTGATTGGGAATGGGGAATTGTGTTTTGGTTTAATTTTTAGGACTTTGTCATGGGAGGAATGGGCCTAGCATGAGCTAACCAGTGAGTTCTGTTGTGAGAAGTGACAATGCTGGGAACAGAGCAGCATGAGGACTTGCTACACCACACCTACCCAGAAAAGCATGTGCTAGCAGTGAGTCCCCACTTCCACAAATATGTTGTAATAATATGATTCTATGGATATGTCTACACAGCAAAGTTATTTCGAAATAGCTTCACTAGTGACTACACAAGCTAACCTCTAATTCAAAATTAATTCAAAATAGAGGAGAGCTTAGTTCAAAATTGGTAAACCTCGTTCCATGAGGACTATCACCAATTTCGAAATTGCTATTTCGAAATAAGTGCTGTATAGACACTTATTTCGAAATAAGGAGTCTCCAGCCTTTCCCAGGATGCCCTGGTGGCCACTCTGGCCACAACCAGGAAAACTCCTCTCCTCCCCACCCTCCCTGGAGCCCTTAAAGGGGTAGAGTCTGTTTGGCCACAGTGCCAGAGCCAGCAGTCGCAGACCCTGACCCAGTAACCTCAACATGAGTGAGGCAGCCAGTGCCAGCCAGCCCTCCACCACTCCCCAAGAGCAGTCTGCAAGCTCCCAGGAGCCTGCCAGGGGCCGGAAAAGGCGGGCACGTTCCTGGTCCAGTGCGGAGATCATGGTCCTGATTGAGGTTTGGGGAGAATCCTCCAACATCCATGATCTCCGCACTAGATGGAGGAACACACCTGTATACAGGCAGATGGATGCCAGCCTGGCCACCAAAGGCTACATGCAAAGCCAGGAGTAGGTGTGCATGAAAATAAAGGAGCTGCGGCAGGCCTATGCAAGGGCCAGAGGGGGCAGCTCCCAATCAGGGGCAGACCCAGATCCCTGCCCCTATTTTGATGCCATGGACAACATCCTGGGGGACTGGACGGTCCGTGCCCCCCAGGTGGTCATCGACCCTGGGGCAGAGAGCCTTGCCTATGAGACTGAAGAGGAGGAAGAGGAGGGCCAGGAGCCACAGGAGCCTGGAGGGAGTGTGCCGTGCACCCAGGACACCCAAGCCATCCCAGACAGCCTGGCTGGGGAAGCAATGACATGTGAGTGCCATCACTATCCCCTTATGCAGCGGGCGTGGGGGAGGGCGGGGAGAAGGGGAAGGAGGGGCGGAGAGGGAGACCATGGATCACGCAGCAACCTGTGCATGTGCCATGCCACCCCTGGGAACGTGGCTCCAGCTGGTTGCCACACAGGGGCCTTGGCCTGTTACCCACCACGCGTGTATGTATGAAGGCACATGACATGCTCCTGACCCCGGGGTGGGACACTGCACGATGCCCTCCCTCCACAAGCCCCCTCTACACAGAGGCAGGGGATATCTCTCCTCCCCCCGCCCCCGACTATATACAGCACAGGGGCATGGGTGCGGTCTCGGGGCAGCTCCCACTCTCGGGGATAGCAGGACATCCCGAACATGGCTCGTGTGCAAGCAAATTTGCTCTGATGGTGTGGAGAACTGTTATCATTGTCTTGCAGAGGCGGGCTGGGCTTCACGCACTGTGTCCCCAGGGATAACTGACCTCTTCTCTTGTTTCTGTGTGGAGACCTGCCATCCTCGCCTTGCAGAGGGGGGCTGAGCTTCACCCACTGTGTCCCCAGGGATAATTGACCACTTCTCTTGTTTCTCCACAGCCACACCGCTGCGAGTGCAGGATGCACCATCTTGCCCAGAACATCCTTCCGCACACGGGCCAGCAGGCTGACCTGTAACCAGGAGGAGTACCAGTGGCAGCACCTGGGGATCCTGTGAGGCCAGCACCACATCCTGGACTACTGGATGAATGAAGACATGCAGCTGTGGTGGGAGAGCTGGCGGGAGCTGCTTGACCAGAGTCGTGCCATCTCTGACCACCTGCAGACCCTGGTGCAGAGATTGCTGCCTCCTGCCACTCCAGCCCCTTCTGCCACCCCAGCTACCACTCCTCCTCCCACTCCGCCCCCTACCTGCCCCACCCTCCATACCCCGCTCCCCCCTGGGGACGCTGAGGCCCCCGCACCCACAGTGCTGGGAGACAAGTGGGCCAGCAAGACCCCCAAACCTGAGCTTCTCCTCCCCTTTCCTCCCCTTGCCTCCCCCTTCCAGCTCCCTCTTCCCAGGTTTCCTCCTCCCATCTCCCACCCTCCCACCTCCCCTCTCCTGCCCTCATTCCCGCTCCCAACCCAGTTTTGTTCAATAAAGAGAGTTTGTTTTTGTCAACACATGTGTATTTATTTACATGAGGAAGGGGGGCTATGGAGGGATCAGTGAAAGGATGTGAGGATGAAATGAGGCACAAGCCCCCAATGGGGCACACCAGGGAGACTTTAGTCATCATCTGGGTGGAAGCTCTCCCGCAGGGCCGCCCAGATATGGACAGCCCCCCGATGGGCCTACTGGCCGACAGCCATGCGGAACTGCATGTACAGGCCAGCCATGTGGTCGGCCTCTGCCATCCAGACTTGCAGGAAAACCATCCCCTTCCTCTTGCACAAATTTTGCAACCTGTGCATGTGCACACAACACGCTGCCACCATGTGTGGAACATTCCGCTCGGAGAGGTCCAGGCGGGTGAGGAGGCATCTAAAATGGGCCTTCAACTGGCTGAATGCCCCCTCCACCATGATGCAGGCCCTGTTGAGCTTGGCGTTAAAGGCCTGTCGGGAGAGGTTGAGGTGCCCCATGTAGGGCTTCATCAGCCAAGGTTGTAGGGGATAGGCTGCATCCCCCACCAGGTACACAGGCATGTCCATGTCCCCAAACCTGATGTGGCGGTCAGGGAAGAAAGTCCTGTTGTGCAGCCTTTGGCACACGGAGGAGTTGCGGTAAACCCGCGCGTTGTGTGCTTTGCCAGACCAGCCCACTTTAATGTCCACAAAGTGGCCCTGGTGGTCAGACACAACCTGCAGGATGATAGAGAAGTATCCTTTCTGGTTTATGTACAGGGAGGCCTGGTGTTCCGGGGCACGGATGGGGATGTGTGTCCCGTCGATTGCCCCCCCCCCCCCGGCCGCTTGGGCAGCG